AACTGTCTCAGGGGAATGCTCGAGGGGTCTGGGACCCCTCTCCAGCCCAGTGGTGAGTGTCCCTGCCAGCACCATGGTGAAGCTGGTGGTGGTTGGCTGGTAGCCCACCATTCCTGTCGTGGTTAGTCCCTCCAGACATAACCACAAGGAATTAGAGATGAGAGGAAAATTCTCTAAAAACCTGTGCAAATATTTTTATTTGAGCAGTTTTCCAAAGCAGCAGTGTAGGCAATGCAGGTAGGCTGAGAAGGTCTGCTTGGCATTTTTTTTTCCGGGTGGGGAGAAACAAGATTTCAATGGTCAAACAGTCCTGTTTAAAATAAAAAAGCTAACTGAGCAAATGGGGTGATTTGACAGTGCCACTGCTGATGCCTCTGCCAGCTCCTTAGGGCAAAACAGCCACTTCAATGCTGAAGGGACCATGAAGTTTCAAACTACTCCAGCTCTAGGCCAGTGGGTGCATGGCTCCCGTCTCGATGCTCCATTTTCCTTCTCTGCTGAAGGGATTTTTGGCACAAAAAGGGCCTCCCCATACTGGCTCCTGCCCATCCTCCCAACTTATATCCATGATAGCAGCCTGCGTGGAGAAGGGTGGCTGGGGAAGAAGGGTGGCGATGGAACCTGGAGGCCCCAGGACCACCCATCCCAAATGTAGACAAGGGCTGGAATAAGGGGAGAAGTTGGGGAGACCCTGGACTACCCCATCCTGCTGTTTTTCCCCTCTCCACACCCATCTCTGTCAGCTCCTAGGGCAGGTCAGAGCACGCAAGTCACAGGCATGTCACATCCTGCCAGCACAGGGAAGCCTCAGGGCCGTGGGCTGCAGGGGTGAGAGTTCTTTGTGCCCTCAGGGGACAGCTCTGGGGTGGTGACAATCAGCCCCAGAGCGTGTCATCCGCAGCAGGATGGTGTGACGGATGTACCCTCCCTGGCCCCATGTGGGGTGGGATGGGGTGGATTTGGGTACAGAGATGGGGCTGGGGGCACAGTGCAGGTGGGTCTGTGCTTCCCGGTGTCACTGGTGCATCTGGCACCAAGAGGAGATGGAGAGGGGAGTGCGTGCAGCAATGGAGCCCCTCCTGCTGTGCATGTGTGGTGGAACGAACTCATGCAGAGAATCGATATGAGAGGTTGCCCTCCTGCTCTGGGGTTGGGGTCCAGCCATGTCCTGCATTCTGCTTCTGGGCTGGTGGGATGCTCCATGTCCTGCAGCTGTACCTGGCACCATGGGGTGTGCTGAGCTTGGGGAACACAGAGGACCCAGGACTCAATTAGGCTCAGGCAGACAGCATCGAGGGGGGTTATCATGAAAGCTGGAGCAGTGAGTCAGGGACAAACAGACACAGGTGTGCTGGGCAAGTGAACCATCGTGTGCCCACATGCAGTGGGTGCCCACGGGTTGTGCTGGCCCCAGGGCTATATGCAGGCAGGGAAAAAGGCTCCTACACGCGACAGCCTGGGTGGTGCAGTGTGCGCGCACGCGCGTGTGTGTGTCTGTGTGTGTGTCTGTGTGTCTGTGTGTGTGTCTGTGTGTCTGTGTGTCTATGTGTGTCTGTGTCTGTGTGTGTCTGTGTGCGTGTCTGTGTGTCTGTGTGTGTCTCTGTGTGTGTGTGTGTGTGTGTGTGTGTCTGTGTGTGTGTGTCTGTGTCTGTGTCTGTGTCTGTATGTGTCTGTGTGCGTGTCTGTGTGTGTGTCTGTGTCTGTGTGTGTGTCTGTGTCTGTGTGTGTCTGTGTCTGTGTGTCTGTGTGTGTCTGTGTGTCTGTGTGTGTCTGTGTGTCTCTGTGTGCGTGTGTGTGTGCGTGTGTGTGTGTCTGTGTGTGTCTGTGTGTGTCTATGTGTGTGTGTGTGTGACAGGGCTCTGCCTCCTCGGGTCAAGGATACATGCAGGTTGTCACCATGATGATGGGCCACCTGAGGACAGGCACCAGGTAGAAAAGGTAGGACAGCAGGACCACTATGACACGGTCCACGGTGACCATCTTGAGGCAGACACAGGAGATGTAGGAGCTGATGTGGGCAATGCTGGTGAAACTGGTGTGGACTATGGTGAAACTGTGAAACTGCAGTGCTGGGCAGGGGAGGCCCCCAGTGCACGGGGGGGCTGCACTTTGTGCAAAGGGGCACATTAGTGTGTGCAAGGGGTGTCTGAGTGCACAGGGCTGGGTGAGCAGCGTGGAGGATGTAAGGGCAGGGGTATAGGCTGCAAGATGGAAAGCTGTGTGTGCTAGGCACAACGTATAGGGCCCGTTGTAGGGTACTGGGTATGGGGTGTAGGGGCTGCAGGGAGTAGGGCTGGGTGTGCAAGGTGTAATGAATAGGGATGGCTGTATATGGGGGTGCAGTGTAAGGCCGAGCCTGCAAGCTACATCTAGGGTTCATGGGGTGCAGTGTGCCAGGTTAGGTGTGGGGGGAACAGTGTACAGGGCAGGATGGGGGGCGCTACGCAGCATGTCGGGACCAGGGTCCAGGGTTAATTAATGGGGCTGAGAGGTGGGGTGAGTAGGGCTGGGTGCGTGTGGCATCTCGGACACGCACAGAGCACCCAGGCTCCTGATGTGCCCTGTGTCCCTCACCTCCATGGAGCAGTTGCAATGGTGGCAGCAGAGGACTTGTGGCCAGCAGTGACAGTGGCACCTGTGCAGGTAGGGCTGTCTTGCTGTCCTGCAGGGCTTCTCCTTCAGCTTCAACTTCCATGCCATTGCT